GAACTACCAGTGCTCAGCGACTTTACCGCTCGGCCGCTGTTTCATCAGGAGGGAAAAAAAACCATCTTTAGGTGACATCCACATACATCACTGGATAAACTCCTAAATTAATTCGACTGAGAAAATCATGGAATTCTCCGTTTATGATACGATATGATGTTTTATAACGTAATTTAAATTTATACAACCATATAGTCTAAAACCAGTCGCTCTTCACTTTAATCTGCAATGATATCGTTCTTGTCTTTTCTGTTAACACAAGCTCAATTGATGGTATTTGCTGGTGTACACGTCCAAGTCTTTTCTCTTTGAACATCTAAATTCTTTGAAGTATCCTGAAAAGCGTCCAACTTTTTCAAACGTCTTGGTATGTCGGACAGCCAAATTTCCCTACAAATTTTTGCTTTTCTCCCTAATTTCCTTTCTACAGTTATTTCCAGTGCTCACACAAGAAAATTAAGATTTTTCGATTGCTAGACTTCCATAAATTTTGCATTCTTGTCAATTTTTTTAAAATATCAATTACATGAACTGCGTTTCAAGTTTAATTTACATGGTGGTTATAATTAAAGTTCCAATTTGAAATGGTCATAAAGGGAAAACTACCGGACCAAATGTTATCAAACTTGGGAATCGTGTAAAGGAGGTTATGGGAATTTATTTTCCGCAGGAAAAAAAAAAGAGTTCAAAATCTCACCACCAGGGGGAAAATGGCGCTGTATACAATATTGTTAAATGAAATAAGACACGAAAACATCTGTTTAAAATGCGTTTAATATTTTCCGAAACGTGTTACAAAGCAGCTTCAATGTAGCGTCCAGCATTTTCCGAAAGTAAGTTAAATCCTGTTACTGCATTCTCGACAGCAGCTCTTAGCAATCAGGAGGAATGTTACGGACATGTCAGTGTATCACATTTTTCATTTCTTGCCAAATTGTTTAGATTATCACCATAAACAGTGCTTTGAGATAACCCCATAGCCAAGAAGTCACAGAGGTTGAGGTCTGGTGGGAAGAGGGAAGTGTTGGCCTTATAAGACGTTTCATTCGTGAAATGTTGCCTAAGTAAATGTGCGACACACGTGAGGTGGTGACCAGCCCTGCATATAAATCGTAGTATCTAAAATGCCACGTTACTGCAGTTCATGTATCACGAAACATTTTAACATTGACTCTAAGTGAGCTGCAATCACAGTGGTCCAGCTGTCGACTGCTCTTCAAAGAAAAATGGTTCAGTTATAATACTAGCTGTCATTCGACACTAAACGGTGTGGAATGATTGCTATGCAATCGAATGCAGTAGGAGAATGCAATGGAACTAGATAGATAAAATGAGAGATTTCTTTGGCACAAATCGATTAAAAGCGTTTTGAATCAGTATCTTCATGTTTTAGTGCCGAATTCAGACTTCAAAAATTACTAATTAGCGATCTGTAACAAAGCGATTTCCAGATTGCACGCACTTGTGCGAGTGATTTGCGATCTCACATTTTGTAATCGCTAATTCGTGGTTTTCACGGACGAATTTCTCACTTACACGGATGGCGCACTCGACTTTTATCGAATTTAACGCCTTTAAATGGTGATTTGCCTACTTCAAAGTTTCTTAAGGGTATACAACTTTTTAAACCCGTGTAACAAAAGGTTAAGTTAGATTCCGACCCATATTTCGTTTAACAATATTGCAAACAGCGCCATTTTCCCCCTGGTGGTGAGTTTTCGAACTTCTTTTTTTTTCGCGGAAAATAAATTCCCATGACCTCCTTTACACGATTACCAAGTTTGATAACATTTGATCCAGTAGTTTTCCTTTTATGACCGTTTCAATATGGATCTTTAATTATAAACACTGTGTATATTATTAAATTTTAATTTGAAGCTATGCGTTACATGTATACCATGCGTAAATTTTTCGCTTTTATGAAAAAATAAAGAATCGAAGCAAATATACTTAGGATAATGGACCAAAACTGAAAAAATTTCCCTCCTTCCGAAAATAAAATATTGAAACTTCGACCTTGAATTTATTGGGTTATCGAAATATTTAATTTGATTTATCTTCAAAGTCTTAGTTCCGACAACAATTCGGTCACAATTCCGAATTACTTAAGCTGAAGTAAAAGATTTTGTATATATTCACTGTATGTTAATAAAGTAATCAGAGTGTAATAAAAATAGATTATAGAATTTACGCTGATGCAACTTTTTGTCTGAATGCACAACATGTAATGGAAGAGAAGGTTTGTAGAGATCTGTTTTTGACATGCCTCTAAAAGTAGATGTCATACTCCTTTTGTCTCTTCAATGTCAAAAAACTTTCCTTTGAGAGGCAACTTTAGTTTTGGGGGAAGAAAAATCACAAGAAGACAAATCTGAAGAACATGCAGGACAATTGAGTACACATACTTATTTTCGGAGCACGAGCGGTTTTCCGACTGGTTACTGAATAATGAAAAGATGCATTGTCATGCAATACAAAACATTTGGAATACGTTTTCTGACTGAAAACGTAAGATTAAAAGTCATCTGCTTAATACACAGCCATTTAGAACTCAAGTACTCGGGCAATTGCAGAATCGTTTTGATCCTGAGCTTGTAAGACAAACCTAAACACTTCTTTAATCTTCCGAGAACATTCCTTCTTTAACTCATATTCCAAGAATATTAAGTGAATACAATTATTGCAAAAGAAATTGAATATTCATTTGCACTACGGCTTGGTAGTTTACTAACGAGTTAACAAAACTTAAATTCTGCATTTTGTGTCTAATAATACAACAATATTTTAAATATTTACAAATAAAATATTAAATTGGAGCCTCACCAGTTGCCTAGCATTTGAATATTGTTAAATACTAATTATTTGTTGAGAAGTCTAACCCAGGCCTCGCATGGTTGGTTTTCGTAGTTTTCTAGGTTCTCTTTACAAAGGTGCTCTATGAAAGCATTTAATCAAATAGCTCCCATGTTTTTTCCAAGTGAAGTTACAAGAAAAATCCGAATACTCATTAAAAATCATGTAGCTTGCCAATCGGGAGTAGCATGAAAGATACGGCGCCAATAATTGAATTGCTGTTATGGTACGCTGTTTCTAAACTTAGATGGTCATTCCTTAATTAAATAACTCTCCAGCGGCCGAGCGGTAAAGACGCTGAACACTGGTAGTTCGGTTCGACGTTCGAATCCCGCGAACGGGCTGGTCGCATGGGTGTTTTCGTGGTTTTCCCCATGTGTGTATACGAGCCAGTTTACCTTAGAAAGTCCTCCACGAAGGCATCCCTCTCTTTAGGCAGATAGCCCTCGTGTGCTTTGCCGTAATTAAATAATCCAATCCAATCCAATCCATTCCTTAATTAAATATAATTGATTTGTACGTATTCTACTAGTGCTGACGGTAAGAATTAAAGTGCAAATAAATAACATCGTGTTCAATCTTGATTAATATAAAATTAAAAATATTTGCATTCAGACCGAAAGTTTTTTTGAAATATTTGCAATTACTTTATAAGAAGGATTAATTAATAACCGTAATAATTACTAAATTATGTTACTGATGATTAGGATTCAGTTCTTGACAATTACATTCTAAATCAGAATTTTAAGGATATAATGAAAATACGCTACGCACAAAAATACATTTTAGGATAAAAAATGAGTTGATTTTTTATGTTTCAAAACTTCTTAAATTTATTTAATAAACATCGTATCCTCATTGTTAAGTGAATCCAGAATGTTGGGTGTCGTTTATATAAATTATTCTTACTTGTCCACAGAACCTGCTATCCAGCCATTAAGTAGCTACAGATCATTTCTACATAACCACTGAACTTTCATTAATTCAGTCTCTAGAGTGTTGTATGTTTATATCATAATTTGACTTTTATAAAAATTATTATTCTAAATCTTATGTTTCTATAAAAATATACTGTGCTTTAAAAATATGGATGATAGTATCAGCCGCTCTTTCAGCCACTTCAAAAGCAACAGTTTGTTTAGAAATAAATCATGCAGTTAATGTCATAAAATTCAAATAAACATCAAGCGAAAATTCTCAGTTTTAGACATTTCGATTTAAACGAAGTAAAGTAGCAGACGATAAAACGCCGGAGGTAAAAATTGACTCTTAAAATTTACTCTTATTTTTTTATAAAAGGAAGATAGAGAGAAATTTAAAAAAAAATAGTTAAAAATTTGAATAATATCATCTATAATTTAAAAAAGATAGCTTTTCATATAGTATTAATAAAGATTTTTTACGCATCATTGAGGGAAGAAATTTCATATAATTAATTCTCCGTAAAATTTGGCTTGAAATTTAAGGTTAAAAATAGCTGTGGTAATTCACTGTAACAAGAATCCATAGACCACATTTGGCGTTATTATCGCTCAAAAAAAGATGCCAAATTTCAAAACGCGAAAATATGTAAATTCGTGTATATCTTAGAAAATTTTGAATAAAAAAGTATAATTTTTTGCAGATATGCTTAAGAATACACCTACTTTAAGATGATAGTAAAACTTTTATAGGTTATAATTCAAAATTTTTTTCGAAAAATTTATAAAAATTATTTAAAAATAGAAATTTAAAAAACAAAACACAAAAAATGGGTAAATTTTATTTGGAATGAACCTAAATTTCGAAATAAGAAAGGAAAAATAATCAAAAAAGTTTAATAAAAAAAGAGATATTAATAAACATTTACAAAATTCAATTAACATTGAGGAGCTAAAATTTTGAGAGCTAATATTTTAAAAACTACTCGTACGATTTTTACAAAACTTGGTATTCTGGCATAATTTGAGTCGTAAAATCGAAATATGGAAAAATATTGATATGTTATTTCAGAAAAAGTCCAATTTTGTGTCAAAATACCTATGTTAGAATAGTGCTATATATAAATCTAATATATAACCTAAATCGCGCTTTCGAGACATGATAAACGCAGTTTGAATTTTGTCAATCGGCCCAGTAGAACGGGAGATATAGCACTGTCCCCCCCCTTTTTTTTTTTTTTTTTTTTTTTTTTTTTTTTGCTGCGCTGTGTACATCCAAAGTTATAAACATTCAAAGTCGCATAGGAACGTTACACACATCTTCCACTTTTTCTCGAGAATTTTAAGAAGCTCTCAGCGAATGTTTTTAAAACTTTTTATTTAATCTCAGTACTTTTCTTTTTTGCGTTGCTTACCACTCCAAGAGTTGTAAATATTCCAATGTGTATATATATTTATTATATATATATATATATATACTATATATGTATAGATAATATATATCTAAAATCTTTAACATATAATGAAATGGAGCTCCTAAAGAATCCGTACAGTTTTTGATTTCTTGGTAGATGATTCTGTCTTTATCCTAGTAGAAATCTACGGAAAGTTCCTCGCACCCCATAGAAAGCGGATATCCATTTCGTACAGTTTGCAAGGCGTTGAAAAAAGGTACAATATATAAATTATAAACATAGTTAAGTTTGCACTATTAACGGAACCACAAAGTTCTTTAAAACTTTTTTTTATTTTTTATTTATTTTTTTTTTTTTGTATTTGAATTTTTGACATTTACCCCTTCTCTGCATAGTATATCAAATCTGATAGAGAAATAATATTTGGTATTCTTATTTCGTTGCAAACTTTTCTTCCATTTGTACCTGTATCCACTTTAATGCATATATAAAAAGGTAATGGAAACTATATTTGCTGATGAATAACAGCATAAATCGTAGTACTATTAATTTTGTAGGAATCACTTCTTTAATTCGAATCAGTTCTCAGTGGTAAAGTGAATATCATCATTTAGTGACAGTCTTCTAGAACCCAGTGATCTTAACTGGCTGCCTCTATGGTGTTTTCCTCATCTGTAATGTGAATAAACACCAGGCCTTTTTTATGAAATCTGCTACGAGGGCATCACCTTTAAGGCAGATAGCCGTTGAGAATTTTCCACAATACAGTAAAACAGAGCTGGCTAAGACTTTACTCAATTTGTAGTATTTTCAAGCAGTTTTAAAGTTCTGATAGTTTTACATCTTTCTTCTACATCTATGTAAAAATTTGAATAAAAATTATAATGCGCAGTTTAGCTTTATTAAAACTTAAAATTCAATTTAAAACTGAAAATTTAACTTACAAAACTTCTACTAAATGTGATATATTTACTTTCAGTATTTTTCTGCCAGCATTTCTTTGATGTTTTAAATGAATTTATCATACTAAAAATGGTTTTGACATTTAGGAAACCACCAATAGAAGATTTATTTAATTCTTTAATACAGTTACTTGAAGTGCAGATAAAAGGAAAATGCATAATACATTAAGCATTAGATATGACCTCCATTAGTTCTGTCTGCAAAGGAAACTAGATTCAAATACTTTGAAATTAATTTCTTGAAAAGACACCTTTTTTAGCTTAAAGGAACATTTCCACATAATATTTTTTGTTTTATATGCAACTGGCAATAATTTCAAGACTCTGTTTCTGGTGAATTTACATTAATGTTTGAGTTATGCATCCAACTTTTCTAACGGGCATGCGAGAAACTTTTACAGTGATTCTAAAAAAAATCTATTTTTCTATGGAGATTTTTCCTCGCCTTTATGCAGTCCTGAGGTTCGACGACATATATTTCTGTCCAGCAGATTCTGCCTACTGATTACTTTTGTCCATTGTCGTGACGTCAAAAGTTCTGAACAGAAATGCTTGCAATCACAAAAAAATATTCCATAAAAGCGAGTAAAATATATCAGGTTCTGTTGAGTTCTTGAGGCTTGCTATTTGCTCGAGCAAACACCACGCGCAAAGCAGTTTTGTTTTAATGTTAATGAAGTTCTACAGCAGCTGCTATTGAACGTATTATGCCTTTTGTGCGCATGCGTGCTTTGTAGTAAGCCGCAAAAATATTGGTGACTTTAGTCCTAAATATCCGACAGGCATTTCTTCGTTTTTCTAAAGGACAGAGATGATGAGAATCTCTCAAAGTACCTGACGCAGAAAAAGTGCTTGTATTAGATAATCAAATCTTAGTTATTTCCGAATCACAGATTTTTATCCTAGTGTATTTGAAATCACGCACTTTTGCTAACTTTTGGAGGAATTTGGACTGGTGTATTACAATTTCCAGATATTTAAAATAATAATAATATTATAGTCTTTTTGCAAAGCAACTGTGGTATAAGGTAATAAGATTTTCGAGCATTTGTCTTAATCCTTTAAGAATACTGTGCCAGTTATTAAATTTTCGAACATTTAGATGAATGCCAATATTCTGTCTTTTTTGACTAAATCACATTAGTGAAATAAGATTTCGAAACATATTGTTGAAGTTAGTTTAAAGGAAACTATGCCGGTGTAATGAACTTCAGGCATCTGAAGAATTTTATACGCCTTAGTTATTTTGGAAAGACATTATATTGGTATAATAAGACTATCTAGCATTTTGTTTTTGCCATTTCCGGCGGAAAGTATGCCAGTGTACTATGATTTCGAGAGTTCTGAAAAAGAACTACGTTATTACAATATGACTTTTAATCATTCTGTCCAACTACTTTCAGGTAAAATCAGAAACAGAGTAAATCAGGAACAGCGTAACACTTTTAAGCATATAGTAGAGATTTTCTTATGTTTTAATGTTCTTTTTTCTGGTTCTGGTCTTTTTTTAAAGTTTTATTTTATGCTAGTATAAGTTTGTGTGTTTTGTTTTTAGTCCTATTCGGATATCCCCTCCCTCCTAAAAGAAGTCGTTATAATATCAAATAGAAATTTTTAAGGCGAAGTCTATGACAATTGCAAGAATATGCCAAGCAATTTGGAATAAATAAATAAACTAGTTTAACAGCAAAAATTTAAAAAGGAAATGAGTTTCCAATTGGTTAAATTTTTGAATCTATTCTTTCATTTTAATAAACTGTTTGGATGTGCTTGCTAATGTATAAGAAACGAATTTTAGATACAAATCTAAAGCAGAGCTAAGCAACAAGCTCGCGCGTGAATGCTCTTTCCTTAATATGTATCCTAGCATTTTAAAAGCGTTAGACCAAATATGCAGAATTGCAGCATTCCCTATTAACAATTGCTGCAAGTTTTGCATCACTCGAACAGCATGAAATCGCGTGACTAATTATTGGAGTTGGAGTTAAAGAGAATGGTTTTCGACTATAATTGTGTCTTCTAATAAACATGACAAATTGACTTTCATTTGGAAGTCTGATTCGGAATTTCAATTACTCGACGATATCCTTAAAATATTGGTGACTTTTCCGCTTTGCTATGAGAGATTTTGCTGGAATCATTTAACACATAGGGAGCGACAATGTTTTTTATGAGGTGGAAGCAAGTATTAGGAGAAGGAATGCTATGTGCCTTTTAAACTGGAATGTCAAAGGTTTCTTTTGGTTGGTTGCCTCGCGGACTGTAAGGTATCCTTCCACCTCTCATCCGGACTGCAGGGCTTGCAACGGGCGGTGGAATGGGTGGTGGCTCCCGCATCCGAACTGCAGGACTCGAAGCAGGGGGCGGTGGAGGCGGTGGAAGGTGCTGAATATCCGTGTCGATGTCCGGGGTTCGGATAGCCTCCAGTTCCATGGGCTGTCCTAGTCTCATGCGAGGGGCTGGTCTGTTGCGGTCGGGAGCCCCTTGGCTGCTCGGTTGAGCCATGAGTCCTAGCATTCCCTGCTCGATGGTGTAGGGTGCATCCATACCGTTGGCTCGAAGTCGCTTCTGGGCTTGCAGAGTGGCGCGTAAGGTTTTCTTCTTCTGGAAGAAAGTTCCAACATCAAGTTTATGATGAGCATATTTTTGCAAATTGCAGATAAGTATACATGTATAATAACTCATCACACGCGACTGCCAGTGAAAAAAAGACCTTCGCAAGTATCTTGAAAAGTTTCAATTTAAATAAGTAGTACTGGTTTAGAGATTTTTTACCCGTTCTCTTACTTCATTTCACTCTTTTTTAGAAGATGAAAAATTTTAAGGTGTTTACATAACGTAAAAATGAAGAAGGAATGTAAAAAAAAAAAAAAAAAAAAAAAAAAAATAAAAATAAAAATAAAAAAAAAAAAAAATAAGAATTAGGTCGAAGAGTGAGCTTGATGTTAACGGTGAGTGAATATAAATTTCTAATAACATGGGGAAGTCGATAAGGATACCAGAGAAAAGATAACCCTTGAACTTGGATCAGATTAGAAATTTGGAATATTTAGATTAAGATTCTTAAGTTTATTTAAATTGATAGCGAAGGATCAGTGATTAGTAGCTTCTGTTTAGGCTGTATCTTATGTATTGTAGATATGACTTAATATTTTAAATTTGAGCAACAGTAGTGGCTCTTTCTGGTGAAGGTGAAAATTGCTGAGTAAGTTTACATTTTTAGTGATCGCTAAAGATTAAGATTAAGTTATTAAAAGTTTGAGTGAGAAGATCTGCTAGAATGTGGGAGATATTGAAATGAAAAAAAAAATTGCTACATTTCTTTCAATCAAATTACCCAAATGTTTGCTTGAAAGTTTATTATAATTTTTTCAATTCAAGCCGACAGCCAGTTAACATACGTAACTAACAAAGCAGTAAAATATTGTGGAATTTTAAACGACTGGCAAATTTTTATCAATTTTTCTGTAACTGAATTCCAACTTAAAACAAACTTTTATTATGGTAAAAAGCGTTCCCTGCGTTTCGGTACTCTTAACACCTAACCAATTTATTTTTCTTTGGTAATAGTGCAAAATCGGCATCAACCTTAACTTTAGATCAAAGGAGATAAATGTGGTTCATGGAGCTTGTATGGTATCCAAAGAACATCAAGTATTTATAAAGATGTCAGGAGCTTTCAGAATGCCTTTCCTAGATTTCAGCAACTTTAAATTAATTAAATTTTTACTGTAATATTGTAAGGATTATATTAATTTATCTAACAGTTAAATTTTGAGTTAAGCTTCCTTTCCTATCATTTCTGAATTTCAGCTTACAACTTCCGGCTAGAGCGCAGTTTTAGAATGACTTTTGAATTCATATTGAGGAAGAGCAGTATTTAATGGCGAAGTTCGACTGTCTTAGTCAGAGATAACCAGAGATTCTGGCTAGCACACGTCCGCCTTTTTAAGCTACTCTCTCTTAAGCTATTATTACGCTTGGCCGTACTTTAGGCCCTTAATAGCTTCGCAGTTCAGCGTTAAGGGGGCAACTCTGTTATACTTTTGATAGCTTCGGCTATATCTTTTTAGTTAAGATTAGTTAAGTTTGTAGTTCTTAAGTTTAAGCCCGAGTGTCGGCTTTATTGTAAAACTCCAAGACGGAGTTCTGTTAAACCTTATTTGAATAATAAAAGGTCTTTAACTCTTTTCAAGTTTTGGTTACTGTCTCACGAACTCAAACGATTATTCGCTTACTAGCTTTTAAGATTCTTCACATTCAACTGTAATTTAAAGTGCTCAGTAAAGAATCTTACAATATTTTTTTAAAATTTTTCAATCTAATTTTTATTGTTTTATTGTATCAGACTTTTTAAAAATTTTCAATTAAATTTTTATTGTATTAGATTTTTTAAAATTTTTATACTTGTAAATACTATTTACTTGTATGTTTGTAAATCTTTTTTCAAATGGATGAAAGTTTAGCGATTCGCTGATATGAGTATATACAAATCTGTCAATAATTTCAAATTATTTAATATAAGAGATATAAGAGCTACCATCTTTTATTGAAAAGTAAAGAAATAACTTCTAAAACTAAATTATGTATAAAATAAAAAGTAAGTTTAAAAATTGTGAATAATCTCAAAACATCTTACAATATCCAAACATCATATAATAAATAAAAGCAGCATAATATTATTTGTACAAGATTCTATACTCGGAACATAGCTAATCTAGAAACTGTGTATAACGTCAACAAAATACTATACCCTGTAAACATGCCATACAGCAAAGCTTCGATTAACTGAGTTTGCTTCACAAACTATTAATAGAGGAAGACAATGAAAAAAGGATCTTTGAAATTCATATTTGTTCAGTATTTTGCCTTTTTTTATTAACTCGCAGTTCGACCGTCACAGCATAGAGCTATAATGCTCTTATTTCCCTTCAATTATTTCATTTAGCGGTAATTATTTATACAAACCCTACGAAAAACATTTTTTTTTTCATAGTATGAATTTGAATTACAATATCTCTAGTGATAAATTCTCTCTTAAGAGTGGTCATGTAAAACAGAATTTTTCTTACTCATTTTTGATTGCTTACAAAATTTATTTAATATCTAAAGAATATATTTTTAATATTGTAAACTAAAATTGGAGCCTTATATTATCCGCGGAGTCTTCAAAGTGATGCACTCCGAAAGGCACCGATTGCAGGTACACCAGCGCGCGCGGAAACACTTTACCTTTCAGCAGAGCAGAAAAGCACATTATATGGACCTGCCATTACAGATTATGCTTCTATAGTGGTATGTCCACTTAATCATTACTCGAATACTAATTTTTCCTATCAAAAACATGAAGTGCGGTTTTCTCAAGATACATTTTTTTCGCGCGTGATCATAGATCAAAAATTAATTGAACGTTCGACTTCAGATTTCACGCAGATATTCTGTAACTTATTTACCATATCCTGAATCTAAAACAACATAAAATGTTTCTTAATTTATTTTCTCTAAAAATTTCTTAATTAATCAATTTTCTTAAGGTCCTTGAATTTTTAATTTTCGAGTTCTTTTTTCTTAAATTTAGGTTCAACATCTTCGCAAGATCGTATTTTAAAGAAACATTTTTGGATTTTTGACTTCAGATAATTAGAATGACCTGCACTACGACTGAAAAAAAGAGTCAACTTTGAACAACTGCAGCACAGGTATTTTGAATTTTTATGACAGACACAAAAAATTGTTTTCCTGTAGCATTTATTGTCAATATTACGATATTCTTTACCAAAACTTGATAAGCGTCTTCATTTTTCTATAAATGAATTCATGCACAAAAGGCCCGTTTACATGACCCTCCCTTCTTTAATAGTCATAAAAATTCTATTTCATTCCTTTTTTAAATCGAAGTAAAGTCAAACCAATCAAGAATCAGATTAGGGTTGAATAAAATTCCTTCATATCTGTAAAGTCTTTGCATAGCTCATTGAAGTTTATTTAAATGATTTTGCAAAAACTATGGATAAATATCCGCATTGACAAACAGAGAAAAAGAAAGATTATCTTTCAACTCCAAATCCGATCCATGTTGAGAGGAAATTTTACGCTGAAGTGAATAAAACCGTAACAGATATTTACATGTGGTACAAGGATTTTTAACATTAACTGCTGCAAAACAAATACACGGGGAGCATATAATCATTCCGTACCTCGCTACGCGCATATGGAAAAATCCGCCCTTGTGATTCGCCATACTTTCCGAAGATATCATTTTCTCTGTTCTTGGGAACGCCTTAACGCAGGGTTTCTTAAACTGTGGGTCGCGAAACTTGTAGCAGGATGTCGCCAAAAATTTCAGCAGTTTTGTATTTTATCTTATTATAATAATTTTACAATTACCAAATATTTTTACACAATGTATCTGAAAATAGATAAAGATAAGACAATACAGACAAAGGAAAAAACGAAAACGTTTCGACGCATTTTTTTTTTATAATATAAACTTTCGTTTCCCTTGCTTTGCATGTGACGCTGTCATTTCGTCTGTTACTTACTTAAAATTTTCACATTGTTCTGCGTCTTAAAATTAGAAATTAAAGTTAATGACCTAAAACTGCAGTAGTATATTACAATACAAGTGAAAAAATTAACAGTTTCATTGACGTGTGTGTCGGATCTGCGCAATATTTATGGGTGTCCCACAGATTTTTTTGGAAATATTATGTTGTCCTGGGGGTCGCGAATGAAAAAGTTTAAGAACCCTGCCTTAGCGTAATGATGTTTAGGCTGGAATCTTACGCATTGGTTTCGCTGAATGATGCGCATAAGTGACACTATCGCGTGAAAATTATGGTTTGTTTCCGTTGAATAATGATGCCAGGCGAAAAAATTTACATGTAGCTTTCTACAGATTGTCTTCCTGTTTCATGGAATAATAAAATTATAAAATCCTCCAAATATGCCGTTAATATTAGAAAAACTCTTAAATGCTTAGATTATATGCTGAGTTCATGAATTTCGTGCAAAAAACGAAACACGTAGGAATACACGACGATCTCGACCCAACTATAAAGAAACTCTCTGCCATGCCAGTCGTAAGGATATTATTATTGTATTGCATTCTGTTCCTTTCAGATTACAAAAAGTATTTCCTTTGCAACTGCATGTTATTTCCATGTCAATGCCCGTGTTTTTCACATTTCTGATACCTTAAATTAAAAGTAAAAAGTGCATTCAATGTTATCACTGAATTTAATACGCATGTATAAAAAAAAAAGAAACTTCTTTTTGTGATTAACACTAAGTACAAGACATGCTTCACGTTAAATAATGGGCAATATCCATAGTTAATTCAAACATACGTTTCTCTAGTTCTTTGTTTAAAATGTATAGTAGTCTAACTTCAGAAATAAATTTTGTTTTCAGACTGAAAATTAAATCAAAAATAAATTTTACTTTTTCGGATTTTTTAATCTTTTAAAATATCGTGAATTTACTGTATAGTATGTTAGCTCCCAACGTTTCTGCTATTTGTGAAAACTAATTTATTTCATACTTTCGGAAACTGCATCTGCACAGAATCCATACATAATAAACATGAAGTAATGAATTACTAATCACAACACCTTTAATATGAGCGGTTTTAAATTAAGAATATATTTATTAAAGACCTCTGCAACCAGTATTAATATACATTTACGGAGTTAGCACACTGAAAGAAATAGCACTTTTTCTTTCTTTTCACTTTTTTTTTCTAGGAGGGAAAGAATAAAATATTACATCTTTTAAATTAAATTCACCACACCATAGTGTCGTAATCTCATGGCAAGAAGACGACAACGCACTTCATTAGCAGTAATAGTCTTTTTGGTACTGCTATCGAAATGTAAAGAAACGCCATGAAGGTGTAGGCTCGAGGCCAAACAGAGTTACCGTCCTAAGCGTACAGGAAATGATGCCATCGAAAGCCATATCCAAACATTTTAAGGAAGGATTTTTCCCTATGCGCCGCAGCGCGGTACGGAATGCTTATATACACACGGGAAGAAAGAGCAAACGGTGAACCAAGTTCTGCCACTGTTCTCACGTTAGCTTTGTCCCGGGTATAGTAGCCTAATTGCTAATAAAATAAAACTTTAAAATGCTTTTATGCAATCCCTAGTAACTTTTAAAAGTAGTTCGAGAACTCTTGATATGTAACACAGATTTTTCTGCGAAATATTTGCACGCTAAGGAAATATTCATTTAGAGTCCAACAACTTGAGAAAACTTTCGACCTGCACAGGAAAGTAATTTTTAAAACATGAGTTCATATACAATTTTTTATTACTAATCATTTATAAAGTTTTTTTGTTGGTATTTGGAATTACTAAAGTTTATTGTGAGTGAATTTGCGACTGCTCATTTCGCGAAAATTCAGTGTCGTTAATGAATAAAGAACACATACTGTTCCACAAAGGTTAACACTGTTACCTAAGGTATTCAAGACATACTCTTCACCACAGTTCACTTCTTTCTGAAGTTTTGTGCAAGTCGAAGTTTTTCCTAAGTTATCGTACTACAAAACGTCTAGAATTTTAATAGAAGTTCATTTTAAATACTAGAAATTTGAGAGGAAAACAAGCATCATAGCTTTTATTATTTAATAAGGCATATCATTCAAATCAAATCAGTGCAGTGTCTTTTTACAATCAAGAAACATGCTTAAAGCATACACAAGTTATGCTTCTTTGAAACCCGTAAAAAGTATATATTTTATAGAAACAATGGAATTTTCCAAGGGGGTCTGCCTGGCGCCACCCTTACCATGCATTCTGCTCGAGCCCTTCTCAATGCCCCAGTAACCACGCTTTTTCGTTTTGGTGATGTAACTGTCCTGAAAATTTTGAAATATATCGTTTGAGGTTTCATTTAGATTACCTTGAGACTCTTTAACCGGCTTACTTTCTTAATTAACGATTAAAACTTCAAGCTTTTGTTTTAAAGAAGTTAAAGCTTCCTCTCTTCTTTTATTAAATAGCTTTATGTATCAAAGCTGATATTTTGAGCTATATGAACTCCATGCATGCGCCTTTCTTGCTCATCGACATCATTAGCTTAACATTAGAACTAAAGCTCAATTCTTGGACAAAGACACCTAATTTTGCCTAGCATAATAATTTTGAAAGTAATAGCTTTATTTTTATTAATTATACATACTAATAAGGTTCTGCATAAATTACGCAAATCTGTTACTTTTATAAGTGTCTGTTAATTCGTTCAAACAAGAATTCTGCTTTTTTCCTTCGCGCAAGCAAGGCGTACTTTGTCTTCGCAATCACTCACTTTCTTTTCGAATTTCATTTGGAAAACGTTGCGTTAGAGAATAAAAGCTAATATAAAAGTTATCTCAGTTCAGGGTAGTCACATCTCACAAATTCTCCTTCACCATAATGCAGCTCGTTATGAGAAATTATGTTATCTTGGACGCTTTTGTTGACCACATCGCAGTCAGGTAATGCTTTATTAGGTAGTTAAATAGCTCTGTGCAGGTTCACTTGCCAAATTGAAAAGGATGGTTCTTTATTCTAATTAGCATTCGAACCTTGCGTGGCTACTGGGGTCTGAGTGTTGGCAGACAGACACCATGCAAGAATAACGAATTTCCGGATCCTTCTAAAGATAAGAAAAGAACATGAGGTACCTTTTGTAACATGCTTGCTAGTACGGCCAATGTCGTCTTCCAATAATAGAATGCGATGACGGAGTTACCCAAAACCCCAGCGCAGCCACGGAAGGCTGAATGTCCCTATATCCTTTTGTGGTTTAAGGAGGATTGCTTTTTCTTTTACTAAAATGACAGTAACCTAAAGAGGACTTAGATAATGCAACGTAGTTAAGTTTGTAAAACATTGGAAAATGCCTTGTTAGAACGGTATTTAAAATATTTTGATCCGATTCTTGGGACGTGTGTTTTCATTTAATTTGTCAGCACGGATTTGTGGATTATTGATTACAAAGTAGCTTCAACTATGAATTTTCTGTCTTTCAATCTAACTGATTTAGATAAGCATATATATAGTCACTTCAGGAACATCCAGTACGAATGTTATATTGCCAAATTTTTTAAGATGAAAATGTTTTCGACACAACCACTTTCAATCTCCCATTCCGCAGTCACACACGGTTGAAGTTGCTCAAACAGCGTTCTTGAATACATGTACGTAATGCTTCTTATTGACCGTAGCATATTTATGAAGTGAACTCGTAATGAACATTTCTATTCCAATTAAAAGTGATTTCATCATTAACGTAAACTTATCATCATTAACAGTCAATTCGCCTCCGCGAGAAGGTAGAGACATCTATATGGTAGAGTGGACAAGATTGATGTTCAGTTTCGGTATTTTATCTTTCACGAATACTTAATGTAGGGTTTCCTGTTCTTTGCAAAAGCATCAAGTAACTGTGAAGAAAAGTGATGTCGTCATAAATAATCGTCTTCTCTGAGAATAGATGAATGCACGAATAATTTGAAGGAAGTCAAGGAACATGTCGCTAACAAAAGTTTCCAAAAATCTTTTGAACACTTTTATAAGCTTGTGTGACTGCAGAAGAGTAGTATTTTCAAGCATGGTTATGTTTGAAACGTTTTCATGCCAAAAATTTCAACAAATAGCACTAATCCTTGGAGTTACACTATCGTTACTACAGATATCTCATGGTGTGCTATCTTTATTTAGTTAATTATTTATTTATAAAATACTTAATAATTATATCATTGATCAAAAGTACAAAATCTACCTCAAAATCAATGTGAAACTTTTATTATGCATATTTAAATGCTTGGTAACCACTGTAAATACCCCCAGCCATCCATGGAGAAGGCCTGCATAACTAAATTGCTAGTGGGCTGAAGAAAATTTGAAGATTTTAAAGCCGGTTTCCAACGACATTGACCGCTTTCTTTGAAGTTCAGGCAATTTAATCTCCGTACGGGCACAGAGCAAGAGATAGAGAAAGAGAGAGGAAAGGACATGCACAGAGAGAGATAGAGATAATAAGAGTGCAAGCTGCAGCCACATGCTAAAGACTTTGGAAGGGCAGCTTACCTCCTCTTTGTTCACGCCTTTGGAAAAGAGGGATTTGGGAACAGTGCCCAACGGCGATTTCTGTGGAACGAGGTAGGGCTCAGTCCATACATCAGTAAAGATCACGATTAGGGCTTCCAAAACGATACTTAACTATTACTCAGTTAATTGGTTAATACCAGGTGAGTCAGCGAATCGGGCAGTGCCATGGACAGTAACTTCTTTAGCTTATTTACGAGCAAAAAATGCACATAAAACATTTCGGTTACAATTAGATTCAAATAAAATTATAGTGCAAATGGTTATACTACAGATAATCTTTGAAAGTGACTTTCGAGGGGCCATTTTCTGGTATGAAATTCGGCACAAGGGGCGGTGTATTGGTAACTAATGTAGTCACATGCCATTTGTTTCTTGCACAGTGCATGCGACTTGCATATTAGTGCACTTGACGTTTACGTTTTTAGTTGTCGGAGTTCTTAATTTCTTTTCTTCATATTGTATTGTTTTGATTAATACCTACCTTCAATGCAAAAGTCATATATTTTAAGGATTCATTCTAAAATTCTTTCCTCTGACAGTATTCGAGTGTAGTATATCACATATTTTGCCCATTACTTTTTGATGTATCCATGGTAATTTCGAAAACTCACTGCTAAAATCAGTGGTTTAAATAGTGATTTGTAGGCTGACCAGAGACTTCAAATTTCATAATTCTAGAGAAAGACTGGTGCACTTATGTAGGAATAACGAGATCATGATCTCGATAGCATGGGTTCGCGAAACGGGGAATTCCGATGAATTCCGAAATTTCTTCTGCTATAATCATGTAATTTAGATAGTTTTTATGAAGGTATATTACATAATGGTAATTAAAATTTTGAAATTAGCAGCAAGGCAGAATAATGTAAATGTTTTCTGCGCGAAGCAAACTATCTTATACAGCACTGCAAAATGCCCGATTTACTGAATCACCCCGTATTTAATTATTTTGATTCCACTAATCAAGATTTTTGCTAAAACAGTTGTTACGTTTGATTTCACTGTAAAAAAAAGAAAATTTTGCTGAAAATATGTAAGAGCAATGCAAGTTTAATGCAGATTTCTTTTATATCATCGTTAACACAGTCATGAGCCAAACATAAAGGAAATTTTATGGCAGCTTTTGATAATGTTTGTAACAAATAAAAATCATTCATCGACTTGCTTATTCTTATTAAGCTTTAAAGCTTTAAATTGATCTTAAACTAAAGCTGGAAAATGTTAGAGTGAATCTTATTTTGCTAAACATTTTAAAATGACTTTTGAAGAACTGATAGAATAATTTTAGCTTCTAAGAGGGAACATTATTACGGAGAAAGAACATTTACCTTATGGTTACTACATAGAACTTAGCCATCTTTATAGCTCAATATCTGTCAAAAGCAATTGCAAAATATATGTTGTTTTATTTCCCGATCAAGAAGGTTTATTATTTGAGGGGGTCGAAAAGGTAATCAGTAAAGAGTACCAAATTATGCCGGGTTGTAAATGCCTACATTACTGGACGAGATTAAGCGTAGTTGGCCAGCAGGAATTGAATGATGCACCTGATAATGGTGGGCTCTACGTATCTATCACAGCATTGGAAGAGCTGTTTCGAAGCAATATAACTCTGCTATTTATATTCCTTCTTAATATCCTGATGTGGACGTCTATGAGTCTTTCAGCTTTCCTACATTGAAGGTAAAATTTCAAAAAATAGGCAATTTAAACGCACGTTTGAAAAGATGAGAAATATATTATAAACTTTAAGGAAAGAAGAATTTCAGACTTCCCAACAACGGCTGAATTTACGACCATTGCAGCAGTTTCCAAAAGAGACTATTTTGAAGAGCAAGAGTTTCACTTTAGCCTGCCACGCATTTATGAATAAGTTCAGAGACCTTTTATGCTAGAGGGCTTTTATATTTATTCCGCTACATTTACAGAATACTAAGTGTTGTGTAATCTGACCAGTTTGAAAAGCCCCACCAATTATTTTCTTTTCTTACGAAATTATAAAGTTTATCACTTTCTGAAATACTAGATAGCACATATTTGCACGACCTTTGCTGCCAGTAACCATATTGTCAAAAATCAGCAACAGTTTCATAAAATGTATATAAACCATTTAACTCTGAGATGTATTCTTTTTTAAACTGAATAAATCATATAAGGCGTCCATTTAATTAAATTAACGCTGTTTAAATTCTTGTTGAACAAAATTTAGACATTTAAATTTCACGAAAATTGCAAGAAATGTTCAGCTGAGATTTATGTGTATAAAAAGGATGATTCATGGAGGAAATTTAGAGAACTTCCAGATACTGCTTTTTGTCCTCAGTCAGTTAAATGTTAGAGAGACAGTACACGATTTAGTAACTAGTTATAGTAGTTCAAGTAGAGACTGCGAAATAGGTAAGTTATGGAACTGGCACAGGAATACTTGACAGAGTAACATGCCATATAACTCGAGTTTCACTTTCAAGAGCACGGGAATTTAAAGACTGGCACAATTCCCAGGAGTCTGCAGCTACCGAGACAGCCGCGCTTGACCGACCCTTACCTTGGTTTGCAAATATCTTAAGCAAAATGATATTCCATGTGGTGTTGTAGAAAAAAGCAACCCAATTTGAATAATAAAAATTAATTTTTAATTACTTAAAATGGATTGCCTTTATCGGCAACAACACCGTGTGGAATTTAAGACATTTTTATTAAGACACATTTAAATTTTACAATCCAAATTGAAGAAGACAAATATAAATCTTAAGAAATTATTGCAAGTGTTCGAACTGATAACCATTCTTTTTCAGGTACTACTGATCACGTAGATCAGTGTCATTGCAAAGTTCATGTACAACTTCATTTGGTATTGAGCACTCTCTATGTAATGCCTACTTTCAGTTCGCTATTGTTGGTTTCATGCGATAAACCTAATTCTTGATATTTATAATGTTGAAGGTTAAGGCAAAAATGCTATAATGGCAGTCCGTGAATAATCCCATAGACAAATGTTTCGCAATTTTCTCACTTTTCGAAAAAATTTCAGTTACAATATGAAGAACAATACTTCACAATTTGTGCAAGGAATTAACTGTCATTATAGGAATGCTAATGGAATTTAAATATTTTTCGGCTACATACCTTTCATTATCGCCTGGTTAAAACTTTTCACAACAGTCAACACCCTATTCGTAATGAAGCAATGAAATTTGCAACTATGATGTCGATGACGCTGTTAAAAGCGTAACACACAAATATATTCGTGTGCAAAATTACGAGAATTTGCATACTATGTAGAAGTCCTAAAACGTAATGAACATATTTTGATGAAATTTGATATGACTATACAAAAATAACAAACAAACAAAAAAAAACAAAAAAAAGAGAGAGAGAAGTACGATTCAGAAGCCATTTTATATACGCATGATTATCAGTAAAGCTCATAATGCAGGGATGTGCAAAATCCAAGTTGTGATATCGAACTGAAAATGAGTCTAAAATGGGGTATAGTCTCCTGGGGTTATAGCCAGACAAGTCACGCAGCGTGACGGCATACTGGACAGAAGTCAGTTGGGGAGTCCCTATGGCAGTCCTGCAGCAAAACAGTTTTCAACTCCAGAATGTTTATCAGAGGGGAATGGCGAGATGAAATTGCCCTTCCAATAACATTCTAAACATGTTCTGTATGGTTAAGGTCAGGAGATCTGGCTGTCAATCCATGCGGCGAATATTCTCACTTTCCAGGTAATCGTCGACCAGCTGAGCTCTATATGGACGAGCGTTGTCGTCCATTAACAGGAACCCAGGACCAATTGCGCCCTTGAAAAGTCGAACATGGGACTATAAAATCTCTCTGTACCTAACAGTACAAAAGAGTACCAATGAGTAACAAAGAGCCTCTGTCAAATATACACACGAGCGTGCGGTTATTCAATACACACGAGCGTGTCTGTCCAAACCATTACACCTCCAATCACTGTAAAGAAATTTTTTCCTGGAGAGGGAGGGACGGTATCATGTTCCAGGCTCTCTAAAAATACACGAACTCCGAGAATCAGTGTCTTGGCTGAATCTCTTGCCTCATCTGCAAAAACCAACTAAAGTCTGATCTCTACTGAAGTCTGACAAGGCGCATATTGTTTGTACCATGCAAAACAGGTTCATTTGTTTGCTGCAGTGAGTGGAACGCAAACAGCGAGTCTTTTGCCATACAGTTTTATCTCATGAATTCATGAATCATTCGGGAAACTACAAATCATGAATGCCAGCATATAACTCACGGGAGAGTTCTGAAATTGTAGCAATCCTGTATCGCCGAGCTGAAGGTGACAAATAACAATCCTCATTCTTCGTTGTGGATCTCAGTCGACCTTCTCCAAGCCTTTTCGATATGCATCTAGTGTCCTGAAACTGTTTCAACAAATTGCAGGCGACAGGACGTTAAATTGAGCTCTGTAGCCACCTGTGCTTGTGATTGTTCTGCCTTCAATCTACCGATAATTCTCCATCTCTTTCTGTCATCCATACATTTGCGGCTTCTCATCAATCCACTGACAATTTTCCATCTCATTCTGTCATCCATACATTCGTGGCCACTCATTTTACCTGGTATCTTATAAGATACACCCAGTTCTTGCGAGAAACATGCTGAATGTCATGAAGGAATACGATCACGAAATTTGCCGATATTGATTATGTGCTCAAAGTTGCTTATGTGGCCCCAGAAGGGACATTATTAAGCTAGGTAAGAAAAAAAACTAACCCAATGAGAGCACATTATTTGATGTGCTAGCAGGTGAAACTCGAGGAACGGTTCAGAAACTGAGGTAAAAGGGGGAAGGTCATTGTGTCCTTTACTGCATGTGTGTTATTCCAATGGAAACCGACGAGAGACAAATGTCATGCAGCGCAAGAAAACAAGTCAACATTGATAGTCAAAGCTAGATTACGAAGTTGTGATCTCTGAGAATGTGAGTAGCAAATGGTCTGATCAAATTATTTTCTGGAATGATTTGGTAACTAAGAACTTATGAAAAATTTTCAGCATCACAGCT